CGTCGCATTATGCAGTTGTAGTTTTCAAGAGAAGACACGATTTTGCGCCAATATAAAAAAATCAAGCTCTTATCATCTGCTATGAGACTCTCGTGGAGTTTGATGATCCTTAAAGCTCGTTTATGTATTCAAGATTAATCATCGTCACTGTTTTCTGACTCGATGGTCAGTTTTTATCTTTTCCATGAGGAAATAATGTGATGGTATAAAGTGGAAAAATATCTTATACGCTGCCCATTTCAAAGATTTACACTAAATTAATCAATCACAGTTAGTTCAACTTGACGACCTCCTGTGGTAAACTGAATATTTACAATTTAGTAATTTCTCTGTGGATCATCTAGTGTGTGAGTTAATATGACACAAAACTAAAACTGCAGACAGAGATATGTTACACAATGTTATGGTTATTAACTCTCTTTATAATTTTTAAAGACTCTTACATCAATTTTCCACATTCACTTACAGTGCAGTCTGTACAACAAATCAGTGTACATATTAAAAAAAAAAAAAGTGATGGTGCTGTATTTGGCATGGATCATCATAGGTAGTTTCATTTACACCGCACCTTAATTTAGTACAAAACAATGAGAATATAAAAAATAATAAATTATATTGCAAGACAAACCCTGTAAAACAAGCATGAATGAACAGTGAGGTGCCGTATATGACACTGTTTTGATGGAGAGAGCACAAATTTTTATATAATCTCAGAAGAGAATGACGCAGTTAGCAAGGAGATAAAACGTGTAAAAAACAGCACCATTTAGTGAGCGACATGCTTAGTGTGGGTGACGGTACAGTCACCAAGGCCACTGTGAATGTGTGTATTGTGCTGCTCAGGGGTCTTTTGTGTGATGTGCAGTGCTACGTGGGGACAAAAAGTGGTGACTCGCTGCTTTCTCGAGAACATAGACACCCTCCTGTTTAACACATGATGCTACAGGGAAAAATAAATAAATAAATGAATTTTTAACACATCAACTCCACACAAGCACTTTTTGAGAAAGACCCTGCCACAGGTGCTACCTCATAACCTCATGAAGTGCTCATATTTACATAAATATTAAACATTTCCACAGTTAAACACAGTGAGTGACCATATAAATAAATCTTGATCATTTCAGAATAGTATATATGTTAGAATACTGTATTGTGCAGTTATTATACATAAATTGTGCTTCAGTTATTAGAGAAGATATCATTCCATATACAGATATATTTGTATTTTTACCCAAAGCACCAGATGCTTTTACACAGAATAAGGAAGACCACCATTCCATATTCACATATATACACATCTCGATTTACAAGAATTCATTACAGAACAGGAACGGCAGACCCTCAGTGCTTTGAGTATTTGCGTGATTCCACAGTAATTGTGTCGGTTTAATAAGAAACAAAAGTCCCATAATAATCACAACAGGATCACTGGGCTTGTAGCAGACCTTCCCACTGAATAGGTTGGGAGAAAACCTCTCTTTCAAGCCACATCTCATAGCTGTAATGGAAGTCTTCGGGCAAGTCGACGCGCTGGCCTAAAACGCTTTGAAGGCAGTTGTCTACTGGTGTAAACTCACTGTTCTGATTCTTATCGTAACGACGCATATTGAATTTCTCAATGCTCTCGCGTAGTGCGCACTCCTCCGCCTGGAAATCCCACGGCCGAGCATCGATATCTGGCAGAAGAGAATGAAAAATAGGAGCATGTATTACATATGAGAACAACTACAATAGCTGTGTCCCAATTCAGGGGCTGCATCCTTCGAAGGTCGAACCAAACATTGTTAAATGGTTAGTCTGGGTCGCAAAGGATTTATTTGTCATATCCTTAATGGCCCGGGAATCGAATGATGCATTTCGAGGCTACGTTTGAAGGAGCTTCCAAAACAGCCTTTGTCTCATTGCTGTGATGCATTCGGTCTTCGAATGCAGCCTTTACAGGTGCAGTATGTAATATTGACAGCTAGTGGTTGAAATGGGTACTGCAGTCCAAATTCAAAATATTTGAGAGCGTCATTTCTGCCACCCCCTCCTCCTCAGACTTCACATTCATAAGGGGTTGCCAGATTGAGGACACACAACAGGAACAAATGCAATTGACAATGGAAGGCAACAAAGCCTTACACTATAAATTGATGTGGTCATAGAGATTTTTTAGATGGATGCAGAGACTTTTTAGGTTGGGTAGAATCTGTGATCTCTGACCCAGTTTGTTTGCTAGATTCCATGGCTGCAATATGCTGTGTTTTCTGCCAACTGGCAACCCAGCGTGTTGAAACACTATTAGGTAAATTGGCGGTGGGAGGAATCACGTGGACCAAAACAAAAACAGACATTCAGACATGGAATACACATTTCAAAGTAGAATAACTGGCTGTAGGAAATTAGCATGTTTCCTAAATATCTGCAAGCATATTACAGTATTTTTATGCTTTAGTACAATAAAAAGAAAAAAACATTCATACAGCACCTTTAAAAGATGCAGCCTCTGAATTGCAGCATATGGCCCATGATTCACCGAGGAAATAATTCAAAATTTAATGATGCCAAACCTACAGTAGACCTTCTACAGGGTCTACAGTTGTGTGTCTTTCTCATAGGCCCTGCCCAAAACACTGAGTGAACCCCGCCCCCCCCCGATATTTACCATTCCCATACGCCCAGTCGTCATTGAGCCGATGTCTGACTTTCTGGTAGATGGCAGACATGGTTTTCATGTTACTCTTTCTCCACTGGCGGCCCAGATACTTGGTCTGTATCTTGAGGAGTTTGAGGACGTAGAGCTGCATCATGGCCTGTTTGACCTTGAGCGCCCTCTTCAGGATGGGAGCAGACTTGAACACCACGAGCATCTGTAAAGGAAAGAGACCCAGCACAAACCACATAAAACTGTTGTTTTGTAAAAACTCATTAATTCATTAAAAAAATCCTTTATATAGATTTTCTCCACATGAACAGACTGTATCAAACAATTAGAGATGCCACTGACTGATATCATTAGCTATTTATACATATATCATCACTGATATGTATGTATTCTGTATCTCTTTTTAATGAAAAAAAAAAAATCCATGCCGCAAGAGAAACAGAATAAAATTACTTCCAAGTGGGGCAAGGTTATACAATAGTACAAAAACAGCAGCCATAATACAAATTAAATAAATAAAAATACATGAAAATAAATAAAAAACAAAATAAATAAATAATACTAATAGTAATGAATAGGATACAGAACAGGAACGGCAGACCCTCAGTGCTTTGAGTATTTGCGTGATTCCACAGTAATTGTGTCGGTTTAATAAGAAACAAAAGTCCCATAATAATCACAACAGGATCACTGGGCTTGTAGCAGACCTTCCCACTGAATAGGTTGGGAGAAAACCTCTCTTTCAAGCCACATCTCATAGCTGTAATGGAAGTCTTCGGGCAAGTCGACGCGCTGGCCTAAAACGCTTTGAAGGCAGTTGTCTACTGGTGTAAACTCACTGTTCTGATTCTTATCGTAACGACGCATATTGAATTTCTCAATGCTCTCGCGTAGTGCGCACTCCTCCGCCTGGAAATCCCACGGCCGAGCATCGATATCTGGCAGAAGAGAATGAAAAATAGGAGCATGTATTACATATGAGAACAACTACAATAGCTGTGTCCCAATTCAGGGGCTGCATCCTTCGAAGGTCGAACCAAACATTGTTAAATGGTTAGTCTGGGTCGCAAAGGATTTATTTGTCATATCCTTAATGGCCCGGGAATCGAATGATGCATTTCGAGGCTACGTTTGAAGGAGCTTCCAAAACAGCCTTTGTCTCATTGCTGTGATGCATTCGGTCTTCGAATGCAGCCTTTACAGGTGCAGTATGTAATATTGACAGCTAGTGGTTGAAATGGGTACTGCAGTCCAAATTCAAAATATTTGAGAGCGTCATTTCTGCCACCCCCTCCTCCTCAGACTTCACATTCATAAGGGGTTGCCAGATTGAGGACACACAACAGGAACAAATGCAATTGACAATGGAAGGCAACAAAGCCTTACACTATAAATTGATGTGGTCATAGAGATTTTTTAGATGGATGCAGAGACTTTTTAGGTTGGGTAGAATCTGTGATCTCTGACCCAGTTTGTTTGCTAGATTCCATGGCTGCAATATGCTGTGTTTTCTGCCAACTGGCAACCCAGCGTGTTGAAACACTATTAGGTAAATTGGCGGTGGGAGGAATCACGTGGACCAAAACAAAAACAGACATTCAGACATGGAATACACATTTCAAAGTAGAATAACTGGCTGTAGGAAATTAGCATGTTTCCTAAATATCTGCAAGCATATTACAGTATTTTTATGCTTTAGTACAATAAAAAGAAAAAAACATTCATACAGCACCTTTAAAAGATGCAGCCTCTGAATTGCAGCATATGGCCCATGATTCACCGAGGAAATAATTCAAAATTTAATGATGCCAAACCTACAGTAGACCTTCTACAGGGTCTACAGTTGTGTGTCTTTCTCATAGGCCCTGCCCAAAACACTGAGTGAACCCCGCCCCCCCCCGATATTTACCATTCCCATATGCCCAGTCGTCATTGAGCCGATGTCTGACTTTCTGGTAGATGGCAGACATGGTTTTCATGTTACTCTTTCTCCACTGGCGGCCCAGATACTTGGTCTGTATCTTGAGGAGTTTGAGGACGTAGAGCTGCATCATGGCCTGTTTGACCTTGAGCGCCCTCTTCAGGATGGGAGCAGACTTGAACACCACGAGCATCTGTAAAGGAAAGAGACCCAGCACAAACCACATAAAACTGTTGTTTTGTAAAAACTCATTAATTCATTAAAAAAATCCTTTATATAGATTTTCTCCACATGAACAGACTGTATCAAACAATTAGAGATGCCACTGACTGATATCATTAGCTATTTATACATATATCATCACTGATATGTATGTATTCTGTATCTCTTTTTAATGAAAAAAAAAAAATCCATGCCGCAAGAGAAACAGAATAAAATTACTTCCAAGTGGGGCAAGGTTATACAATAGTACAAAAACAGCAGCCATAATACAAATTAAATAAATAAAAATACATGAAAATAAATAAAAAACAAAATAAATAAATAATACTAATAGTAATGAATAGGATTTATGAACAATTTACACTGAAAATTATTATGTATTATGGCCTAGTTATGTATTAGAAAATGAGATGGCTTAATGCTTTTATTCGTTAAAATAAACATTTTCTTTCTCTCACCATAGTTCTTGAGTGTTTCCACTTGGTAATTTTGTTTAGGATCCTCAGTAAGTTGATGCAGGAGAAGAGATTACGCCAGCAAAACTGATTACTGTCACCAGCTTCCTGTTTACACACACAGACACACATTCAGCATCTTAACAAACAACAAAAATAATAGTTTCTTTCTTTTTTACTCACCTACTTTACCTACAAAAAAGGTTGAAGTTTAAGTAAAAAAACCTGATAAAATAAAAGTGTTTTGTATCATTACCAGGCTTTCAGCTGTGAGTTCAGGCATTTCATGAACCACACAATGAGGGAAATCCAGGGCACAAATGCTGCCGTCAGAAAACACAATATGTTTAAAAGACAGACTGACAGACACAGAAGTTGGTTTTGAATGAACATATATCCAAATGTCTACCTGTTTTTGGCACTGATGTAAGACATAATGTTCTGGTTGAAGAATTTGAGGATGAGCGGGATGCAGTTGGCAAACACCAGGTGCTGAGCCACATATTCAAACTATCAGAGAAAAAACAAAACAAAACATCACGTTCATAAATAAAGTACTTCATAAAAATCTTCAGCATTTGAATAGCACTACATTTTAATATAAGGAGGAATGGCCCTTTAAAACCAGTGGCGTTACATAGAGAGGAAGTCAGTTTGGCCTGTAATATCTATAATTAACTTCCCTCTATCTCTGATGAGCTGAAGCTTTCATTAGCAAGACATTCATCAGTTCTCTCAGATACATACTGAAGAGTGATTTGTTTCCAGTTGCTCTCTGTTTATCACAGCTTTAGACATTAATGAGCAAACAAACTGTTCCCACTGCAGTGCTATTTTTACCACTTCCATTCTCCACCAATAGAGGGCGCCACTTACAACACCCACACCTTCATTTTTCATAATTTGTCATGCTCATCATACAGGATTAGTCTGAACTGTGCTGACAAGATGAAGCACATCAGGCTTTAGAACATTTTGTTCTCGTCCTCTGGTAATATTTTTAAATAATTTGATGTATGAGGAGAGCAATTCTGAGATTTTTTGCTAAGTTTAACAAACTTAACGTTAAGTTTGCTAAAATGTTGTTTAAATGCAAACAAGGTTTTATCTAATTAAATATGCATTACATTTCCAAAGCATAAATCTGAACATTGGTTTTTAAAGAATGGATATCTCATTTTTATCACATTATTTTTATGTCAACAGCCAGTTTTTAGGAATAAAATGTTATATTAAATTAGGCAAATATATATAAATAAACAGCTTTTATGTAAAAATTAAACAACATATTTATTCTGACCTGTACGCATTACAATAAATAAAAGAAAATGTCATCATACTGAATTGCATTATATTTTAAATGTTAAAAAAAAAACATTTAGCTAACAAATAGGTAAATCCTAGTGCTTTAAAGGATAGTGGAAAAGATTAGTAAAGATTTAAAATTATAATTAATTAGTAACTTCAGTGTGATCCTGATTTAATGTCATGTAATGATTCTTGTTCTAAAATAAGCCTGACAAGATTTTTTGGTATATACAGTGGGTACGGAAAGTATTCAGACCCCCTTCAATTTTTCACTCTTTGTTATATTGCAGCCATTTTGTTACACTTAATGACATTTTACTGGGTGTCGTCTGTAAATCATGGTAAAAATGTATGATAGTCATTATATTTTTTTGCTTAGAAAAAAGTAACATTAAACAGGAAACATTCTAACACATGGAAAAAAAATGTAAGCTGTATTAAACTATTATTTTGATGCTTGAACCCCTTTAAAGTTGACCCATAAATCTTCAGAATATAAATAAGAAATAAAACTGTAAAGTTTGGTGAATGTAAGCACTACTGAAGTGGAGATGACTCAATACAAGAAGTGTAGAAGATCAGATTTACTTTTAAATATGGCAGATTTGTCTTTCTTTTTGATGCATTTAGAGTATCCTTTTTTATTTTAAGTGCTTGTCTCATTGTTGTCTCTCTCTCTTTCGTTGTCTTGTGATGAATGGTGCTTTGGCAGTGAGCCTATCAGCAGAGCGCAGGGTCAGTTCGGCCAAAGACATCACAGAGACACGAGCAGAGAGAGGAATGGCAAATAAAGAGAGTCTGACCTGGTATATGTGGTTGAGTTTGAAGTGCTTGAGCAGCAGTAGTAGGAGAGCTGCAGTCGCTTTGACGATAATCTCCTTGTGTCTGTTCACATCAATGCCCAGCTTCATGCTCTGGAGGACGGTGATTCTGTTTCCAACACAAACACGGGAAATGTTTGCTGTGCATCTAAAACAAAGCGCACTGCTCTTTTCATGCGGCATGCACACATCAAACGCAGCAGCGTCTCTGCTGTATGTGCATTTGTGCGTAGACTTACGGCATCTCCTCCGGCAGAACGTCGGCTAGGATGTTGATAGAGTCTGTCTTTGCTTTGGAGGTTGGAGCTGCAGCCAGAAGCAGCTTCAGTAGAGCAATCTACAAAGAGACTAACATTAGTGCAACATTCCTACCAGGTTTGTCTGGAGAGTTGCATGCATTAACCACTACACCATTACCAGATGTAATGCATAATCCAATATTGGGAAGCATATAATTTTTTCAGAGCAGTTTCACGATTATGTCTTGAGTGTAGAACCTTCTGATACCTCCATCACAAGTATTAAATGCATGTTTATGGCCAAAAATATAATTTTATGCCAGCATGAATTTGCAATGTTTTAAAAGTATTAGCGTTAGCATTTAGAATTAAGGCACGACACCCCAGGTTAATATGGTAAGTAAAAAAAAATAAACTAAGAGATATATTTCCCAAGTTGATTGATTACATATATGCAAATGAGAGACTGTCTAATTAAATATATGCACTAATTTGCATAGATTTCCAGAACAGAAACCTGAATATTGCATAAAGCCAGGTTCAAAATTCTCGTTTCATTTTGTTGACACATTAAAGTCAGATTTTTACAGAGGGGAGTTCTCTTTTTGTCATTACTCACTACATAAAGCAGAAAATATTAGTTACTTTAATATCTTTGTGATACTATTTTTGTACTAGTTTTTATTAATATTTTGACATTTTTATACTTTCTGTTTTCATTTTCATTTTAGTTAACATTTTAGTAATCTTGTTGTGTTTTGTAATGTTTAGTATTTTTAAAAAAATATGTCTATATAGTCTTTATTTTAGTACAACAAGTTTAACTAAATTAAAATGAGAAATGTTACTTTGGCAACTAACTGAAATGATTTTTTACATTTTTTTTACATTTTAGCTAACACTTATTTTATTCAAGTAATTAACTTTTTTATTGTGGTTTCAGTTTTAGTTAATTATAATAACCCTGGTTAATAGCCAGAAAAATTTTTTATTGGGAATAAAATATTTTTGGAGAAAACGGCCTTTAGTTTAATTTACTTTTGCCTATAGTGTTTTGCTGCGAAATATTATCAGAAAGAAATAATATAACTATTCTTCTGGAAAGCTTGAGCTATATTCACAAGTATCTGAGTGTGTAAAAAGATGAAGACACTTACTACATACTGAGAGAGACTAGGCAACATTCCCAAATATAGAATCTCTGCAGGTGTTTCCTCTACCTCCTCCTCCCCCTAGCCAATCAAAAGAGGCGATTCTGACTGACAGCTTAATGAACCAGTAATACACGCAGAAGAACAGCAAAACTGAGTCACTTACCATAGTCATGGGACACTGCTGCAGCTCCTCCTCTCTCTTGATCTGGACCTCCGCTATGGAGACATACTTGTGCTTGAGAGAGAAGGGGTGAGAGAGAGAATTGCCATGGTGACCGAGGACGGATATCTAAACTGTGATTGGCTGAAAGAGCCCCAATAGAGCATGCATTAGACCACAGGATTCAAGTCAATGCATATCTGTGGCTCAACAGCTGGTGAATCTGACAGATATACAGTATAATCCACTTATTGAGTATCAATAAAATGGCAAAACATTTAAAGCATGAGAGAATGCTTTAGCGTTTAGTATTCATGCATATGATGTTCGAATAATTTTTGTTACTCATCCAGCTGTCTAGAAAACTAGAATATTAGAAAACAAAAATGTTTCCATGCTTACCTGTTTCAAAGTCTTTACACTCTCATGTATGGGCCTGGGTAGCCCAACCAAAGTGTCAGTGTCACTGTAAAGCAGCATTAGAAAGAAAGAATATACAGTGTGAACCAGAGACAGCCGTGCGTTTATTGATTTAATGATAATGAAGGTGACCTGTATTATCATTTATCATAGATTCAGAACATCAGTAGCTGAGCTTTAGCCCGGGAGAATTGATCAGAGACTCACTTTCCCAAGGTAAAGCCGATAAATTTATTTCTGCTGGTCTCCAGAAAGTGCTCGATGTCTTTCTCTCTGTGGGAGGAAAAGGGGAATTACTTTTGACTACATCATGAGAAGTTGGCTCGGACATAAACAGACTTATTTTAGCCTTTTCTCAGTTTAGGACAGGACTGCTACCAACATACAGCTGCTTAAACTTATCAAAAACAGCAGCATAAATGTGTCCCTTCATCGTTTTTGGACTAACCTCTACCCTCCCTCACGCTCTCGTTCTCATCTGCATGCAGCAGTGGAGCTCAGCACAGTGTTACAATTCACAGGTAAAGAAGCCACAGAGGTAAATACTGTACTGTGTGGCTCTTAGAATTATCAAGAGGATTTGATCAAATGTGACTGTCACAGCTTTCGCTGTTGCAAATTCATCTCTTTTTCTTCCTCTGTGTTTCTCCCTGTTCATTTGTCTCTGCCCATAAATATGCATTATTTATGTCGGAGGTTCTGCAGTCCTAAAATCAGCCTGTTTCCAGCACAGGAGCTGTAGAAGATTTTTGTAGGCAGTTAGACGGGTCACTACAGATACACTACAAGTTTGGGGTCAGTATGATTTTTTTTTTAAGAAATTAATATTCAGCAAGGATGCATTAAGTGGACAATAAAGACATTTGGAATGTTTAAAAAAAAAATTTTTTCACTTTCTATTTATCAAAGAATCCTGAAAAAAGATTAATCGTGGTTTTCACAAAAATATTAAGCAGAACAACTGTTTGCGACATTGTTAGTACCACCAAATCAGCATATTAGAATGATTTCTGAAGGATCATGTGACACTGAAGACTGGAGTAATGATGCTGAAAATTCAGCTTTGCATCACAGAAATGAATGACATTTTCAAATATATTAAAATCGAAAACAGCTATTTGAAATTGGAATAATATATCACAATATTCCTGTTTTTACTGTATTTTTTAGTTACATAAATGCAGCCTTGATGAGCATACGAGACTTACCGAGACTTTATTGCCTCCCTGAGCTTTATTTACAAAAAATTGCTTGTACTTATTGCAAAACAACAAATCTCTGAAAACAAGTCAGAGCCAAAATAGTACAGTTTATGGGCATCACATTTGATGAAGACCTTGTTCGCTACCTGACTTTGGGAGCCCATGGCAGTCCCTTGGGGAAGGACACTCTCTCCGTTGGCGGCCGCAGTGGTGGTGGTGGTGGTGGCGGTTGGATAATAACATCTCTGTCGAGAGGGTCGACCTCTCCCTCGATGCCACTGTCCACATCCTCTGGGTCATCTTCCTCATCCCGTGCATCATCGTTTTTGAAAGGGTCCTGTTCGTTGTAAGTGTCTAGGCTGTCCTGCTTGACCAGGGGCTGCAAGAGAGGGAGAAAGAGTTTAAGATCAAGTTGCAAATGTATATATTACTCTGGACCCTGATACTGAGTCTCATTAAGAAAGACCAATTTCATAATTAAAGGGATATAATACCCAAAAATGAACATTCTGTCATCATTTACTCACCCTCATGCTGTTCCAAACCTATATGTTGGTAACCAAACAGCTGCTGGTAGCCATTGACTTACATAGTATGGAAAACAAATATTATGGAAGTCAATGGCTACCAACTGTTTGGTTACCAACATTCTTCAAAATAGCTTCTTTTTGCGTTCAACAGAAGAAAGAAATTCATGGAGGTTTGGAACAACTTGAGGATGAGTAAATGATGATTCATTTTTGTGTGGACTATCCCTTTAAGATTTTAAAATATCATTTATATGGTGTGAATGAGATTTGGTTTTATTCTTTCATTTTTTCTTTACACTTTTTTCTGAACTGACCAAATTGAAACTTTTTTGAATGAACAAGACTCATATCAGGTTTTTTTTTTTTTTTTCCCTGCACATTCTTCTGGTATTTTAGCCTTCAGATTATGTTCCCCATCCAATACTTAAGAGCTTATCGCTGAAACTTACCGTTCTATAAACCTGCAAATGATAAGCATCACAAAAACTTTCAATCCAATTTTGGGGACTCACACATTCCAGATACAACACCGCAGCTCCTTTTTTAACATTCCTATGCAGATTCAGTTCAACAGAAGGCACAAAAAAACAAGTTCTTCACATCCCTAGTGTTGTGCAAACACATGAATGGCAAGATTCAGAGCAAGCATCAGGCATGAGGTGCATTAGTGGAGCGTCATCGTTTGTTCCAGTGCAGTCAATGTATGAGTGTGTCTGTGGACAGTACCATGAACAGAGGTGACTCAGCTGTGATTGGTTGCCTATGAGAAGCCATTCTGCTAGCTAGTTGGAGCCAGAGTGTGTCTATGTGGGTCTCATTGACTGAGAATATGTGGAAAGATGTGCAAATGGAAAGACAGGAGGAGATAGAGAGTCTTGCTAATGTCCATGGTCAGCTGTTTCTCTCAGAACCGTTCCCCAAATCAAGTTTCAAAGGAAAAACAAATTGCTGTGAAGGAAAAGAGAGTGGAGGAGTGCAAGGCCAGCCCACAACAAAGAGAATGCATAAAAGGGGTTTGGGGTAAAGACCTGTTTCTTGGCATATGGACTGTCTCCTTCCAAGCTATCAACAAAGGCACTCTGTAGGGACACAAGGAAGAGACGGGGATGAGCCAACAGGAAAACCAAAACCCAGAGAAAAAAAGGGCAGAGAAGAGGGAGAGTTGAGGAGAAAGTCTTACAGAAAACTTACAGAGACAGAGTGAGACAGGAAGGAGAAAGGTCAAAAACCTGCTGTGATTGGTCCACAATGTTGACTGGCCAATCGGTGCTCTGCTGCATTTCACTCTCATTGTGACATCACCAATGCAATGTTCGGTTGTCTTTAAGGACAAAAGTGTGTCATATAGTCCCTTTTGTGTGTTTATTTTAAAGCTTGTGCAAGTTTTGCAGGCTGGGTGGGCCGTCATATTTGTATAACACCGCCCTGCGTCATATTCACTGAATGAAATCCAACACTGTTGCATACTAATTTTGGGCTGTTGATTTCAAAAATAGTGGCTGTTTCGCTACAAAACTACAAAATCTGATGCATTTCGTAGCATTTTTGCTTTCAACAACCATTTATAAGGTGTAGAAGTCTTGTATTATCCCTTAATAACCAGAAAAACTGCCACAAAAACATGATTCCTCTCGTCCTCTGAGCCAGGTTACAACTATTTTTCGATTTTCACATGTTTGAATGATCCTGAAGAGATTACTACCACTTACCCTGTAGCAGATTGTAAATTAAATAACACATTTTGAATACTACTTTTTTCATTAAAACTTTTGAATGTTTTTTTTTTATTTTGAGAAGTGCATTAAAGCTGATACATATACACTGCCATTCAAAGTTTGGGATTAGTAAGATTTTTAATGTTTTTTTAAAGAAGTTTCTTATGCTCATCAAGACTACATTTATTTGATCAAGAATACAGAAAACCCCCCAGCAAATATGTAAAATATTACTGCAATTTAAAATACCGTTTTTTCTATTTTAATATACTTTCACATTTATTCCTTATATTATTATATTCCTGTGATGCAAAGCTGAATTTTCAGCATGATTACTCCAGTCATCAGTGTCACATGACCCTTCAGAAATCATTCTAATATGCTGATATTTTTTGGAACCTGTGAGTTTTTCAGGATTCTTTGATGAATAAAAAGTTTAAAAGAGCACCATTTATTTACAACAGAAATCTTTTGTAGCAATATACACTACAGTTCAAAAGTCTGGGGTTAGTAAATTTTTTTCTTTCTTTTTTTTAAAGAAATTAATACTTTTATTCAACAAGAATGTGTTAAATTGATAAAAGGTGACAGTAAAGACTTAAATAGAAAATATTTCTATTTTGAATAAATGTTGTTCTTTTTAACTTTTTATACATCAAAGAATCCTGAAAAAAGTATCACAGGCTCAAAAAAATCTTAAGCAGCAAATATTAAGCAGCGATAATAAATCAGCATACTGGATGATTTCTGAAGGATCATGTGAAACTGTATACTGGAGTAATGGTACTGAAAATTCAGCTTTGCATCACAGATTTTTGCATATTTCAAAGTATGTTAAAATAGAAAAACGTTATTTTAAATTGTTATAACATTTGGCAATATTACAGTTTTTTCAGTATTTTTGATCAAATAAATGTAGCCTTGATGAGCATAAGAGACTTTAAAAAAAAACATAAAAAATCTTACTGAATGGCAGTCATTATATAAATATAGCCTATAATCTGAAAAATCTTTATTCTTATTTTGTGAAAAAAAAAAAAACTGTACATTGAAAGTTTTGCTGATATTTTTTAACTCAGCATCAGATTGAATTAATTTTTCAAGATGCAGGGCTGTGTAATAGGTAGCACAGATCAGATTTTTTGTGTGCGTGCTTTGTATTTCATACACTGAGTGTATAGGTTTATACGCATGAGAGGTTGTGTGTTCTCATACTGGCACAGTTCATGTATTTCATCTACACGTGGTTTCTGCTAGTGCAACTGCAACTGCTTTGAAAGTCATTTGCATGAGTGTTTCTCGTACCCGACGACTCCTGCGTCCTCTCTTCTGCTGCTGCTGTTGCTCGATGAGCTCCATGGCCGAGGCAGGAGGAGATGCGGCCCGCATGTTTCGCACCACCTTAATGCTGTCCTCAGGGAGCGGTGGCAGGTTCAAAAGTTCTCTCATTCTCACCTTCATCTCCTGCAGCTCCTCGAAACCTCCCAGAGTGAACTGAGGTGCACAAACACGCAGAAATCAATGGACAGAGTACTATAGGCACATAAACAGCTGCCTGATTTACAGTTGAAAGAGTCCATGATAAACACAGTGTTTATATTCTGAAATATCCAAAGAGGCCTCTCTTTATCTGGTAGAATAGAATAAGCAGCAATTATTCTATGGAATGAAATGTAGCATAATGAAAGAAAATAGAACAGAATTAAATCTTCAATCAATCCTGAATAAAACTTTGGGGTTGGCAAGATTTTTTTTTAATGTTTTAATATCTTATGCTCTTAAGGCTGCATTTATTTGATTAAAAATACATTAAAAACGGCAATATTGTGAAATATTATTAGAATTTAAAATAACTGTTTGTATTTCAATATATTTTAAAAATGTAATTTTTGTAAGATGTAATATCTTACTGAACCCACACTTTTTAACAGTAGTGTAGAATAGAATAGAATAGAATAGAATAGTGATTGTATTGTATGGAATGAAACAGAACAGAATGACAGAACAGAAGAAGTTTAATTCAAGGAATAAATTTCCATACATTGATTTATTTGTGGTGGCCCGCCACAATATCAACACTGACCACCACAAATAGATTTTCCAAAAGGCTTTGACTTCGTTTAATAAACATGAGCACTGTACGTTTCAAAGTCAAAACGCGGCATGGGTGTTTCTATATAAATGTATCTTTTTTTGAAGGGAACCGATTGTCTTCAGAAAAGTTTTGTTGTCATTTAATGTTTCATTTAATCTTTCCTTTAATGCCTGATAAAGTAGCACAGCGCTGTTTTGATTACAGCAGTTACCGGGGAAACTGCTGTTTCTGCCGCTCTTAAAGCGCCTCCTGCTGGCAGAGAATGAATTTGCACTTTCAATAAGCCCGTCTGCTATTTAATATTTACATTATATACATATAGATTTCTCCCAGGGGGAAGTGCCGCCACACATAGAGTGTAGTAACACTGAAATCTGTATACGAAATTGAATGGATTAAAATATAATATTACACTCTAAAAAATGCTGGGTTGTTTCAACCCAATGTTGGCAACCCAGCATTTTTTAGAGTGTATGTAGTATAACAGAATAGCATAGAATAAGCTGTCAATTATCTGTGGAATAGAATAGAATAGAATAGATCTATGGAACAGACTAGAATCAAAATTACTTATCTAAAATGAAGCATATGTGATTCTGATGATTGTATATTGAGACTGACCAGTATGGTCTTCCACAGTAAGAGCAGCACTTTCTTCATTGGGAAATGGGGCGCATTCATGCTGCAGAACTTGGTTACCATGGTGAAGAGGAGGAGGGCAAAGGGCTCTCCGTTATAAAGGGGTGATCCTGAGAGGAGGAGGGAGGTTAATCACTGCACCATAGAGAAGGTCAACAGCCAACCACTGCAAATACACACACACACACACTATAATCTGCGTATCTGTAAAGACTAAAGGACACACAGCAGCTCTCTCACAGTCTTTCTCACCCAACTCTGTTTTGAAGGCCTCTCTGGCTGCCTTCCTCTCAGGACTGTCACCCTCCATTTCCACACGAATGGTCTCAACCATCAGATACATGATGCTCAGAAGAACCCTTCAGGACATAATGCAAACGCCTTTACTTCCAATCTGACTGATTGTGTGTGTGTGTGTGTGTGTGTTAGTGAGAGAGTCTTTGTGTATTGTGACCAAGGGTAAGTATTATCCTTCTATAATCAGCTAATGCAGCAGCATTACTCCTTACAGCAAAACAACATTAAAGTCTCAATTATGTTTGGAGTGATGTGTGTATATGTTTAGTGTGTGTATATATATATATATATATATATATATATATATATATATATATATATAGTGTTATATACAGTAT